TTTGTTTGGCTTCTAACGGTATTAGGTGGGGGCCAGTCCCATTCCGCATTGATAACAAATGGCTAAAGATGGACAACTTCAGAGCTGTGGTTTCCAAAGTTTGGAGGGATACAGCTGCTTAGGGGACGGCAAGCTATCGTCTGCATTCCAAATTCCGTCTCCTGAAAACTGAAATTAAATTGTGGATCAATGAGGTGGGTAAGGAGCAAACCCAGATAAATAATTTATTAGATGTCTTGGCGGAACTGGATTACTCTGAGGCTACTATGGGACTAAATTATGATGATAGGGATAAAAGGAACACTCTCAAATTGGAACTTGCTAATAGAATGCACTGGGAAGCTATCTCATGGATACAAAAAGCAAGGGAGAAATGGATCCGCGAGGGCAATAAAAATACTAAATTCTTCCACTGCTTGACCAGTCATCGCAGAAGAACCAATTATATTGAAAGTCTTGTGGTCAACAATAAAACCATCAATGGTAACGAAGCCCTACGGGAAGTTGCCAAAACACATTTCCTATCCTTCTACACTGAAAATGTAAGTAACAAGCCAAAGCTGGACAACATCAGATTTGACAAAATTGGGAATCAGGAGAGGCTAGAATTGGAAGCCGAGTTCACTGAAGAGGAAATTTTTTCATCCTTGAAGGATTGTGAAGGTGATAAAGCCCCTGGACCCGACAACTTCAACATGACTTTCCTTCAGAATTTCTGGCACGAAATTAAATCGGATGTACTTATGTTCTTTAAAGACTTCCACATGAACGGCTCTTTTGTGAAAGCACTGAACTCCACTTTCATTGTTCTGATTGCCAAGGAAGTCGATGCTAACTGTATCACTGATTTAAGGCCAATTAGCTTAATCAGTTCTGTGTACAAACTCCTATCAAAGGTATTGGTCAAAAGGTTTTCTAAGTCACTCAAACATATTATTGGTAACAGCCAACATGCTTTCATTGATGGAAGGCAAATCACCGACACAATTATGATCGCAAATGAGGTGGTTGACGACCTGTCTCGTAATAAAAACAACGGACTGCTATGTAAATTAGATATGGAAAAAGCTTTTGATAATGTCAGCTGGGAATTTATCGACTACATGCTTGAAAGAACTGGCTATGGAATCAAATGGAGTTGGATAAGAACTTGCATCTCCTCTACGAGTTTTGTTGTTTTAGTGAATGGTGGTCCTTCATTCTTCACTGCTTCCAAAGGTTTAAGAGAGGGTGACTCTCTCTCCCCTTTGCTCTTTATTTTAACAATGGAAGCTCTAAATAAGTTGCTATTACACACCAGAACTCTCAATCTCATCAAAGGCATTAAAGTTGGGCATGATGGACAAATGGAGATCTCACACCTATTTTTCGCTGATGATACTTTACTATTCTGCCAACCTGATATCAGCACTCTCCTTCACTTAAGATGCATACTCCTATGCTTCCAAGCAGTGTCCGGTCTGCGTATCAATTTGGCTAAATTGGAGAGAGTTGGTTTGGGACCTAACATTGATACAATGGCACTAGCCCGGATATTAAATTGCAAAGTATCACAGGTCCCCATTAAATACCTTGGCATCTCGCTCGGTGCTAACTACAAAGATAGGGTGTCGTGGGATCCGATCATCAATATCTTTGAGAAAAAACTTGCAATTTGGAAGAGGAAATACCTCTCCAAGGGTGGAAGACTCACTCTCATAAAAAGCACACTTTCCAATCTTCCAACATACTACCTCTCGGTCCTCACCATTCCGGCCAGCATTGCAAACAAATTAGAAAAAATTCAACGCAACTTTCTGTGGGGTACTGAGGAAAATAGAAGGAAAATTCACCTTGTAAATTGGGAGGACATTAAACTGCCCAAAAACCATGGTGGACTTGGCCTTAGATCACTTATCAACATGAATAAAGCCCTACACGGCAAATGGATTTGGAGATTCTGGAATGAAGGTGACACCTTGTGGAAAAGAATTGTTGACTGCAAATGGAACATCAGCGGAAACCACCCTCGAAGCAGAGGAAAATATACTACTCATGGTAAAAGCTTATGGAGTGGCATCTCTTCCATTAACAAGCTGGTAATGGATTATTCTTCTTGGGCAGTTGGCAGAGGGAACAAATGCAAATTCTGGACTGATAAATGGTGTGATGCTTCAAACTTCCAACATCAATTTCCTCTCATTTATGCCATCGCCAAAGACAATAAAATGTCGGTCGAAAATGCTTTTGATAGGGAAAATGGAGGTGCCTGGAATATAGTGGTTTCTAGAAATCTGAAAGATTGGGAAATCACTGAATATGAAAGCTTATTAACTCTCTTATCCACAATCAACCTCACAAATACTGAAGACAAGCTTCTTTGGAATATTGACAGCAAGGGCATTTTCTCGGTAAAAGCTTTCTACCATCACTTGACTCAACACAACAGATTTAGAAGCCTAGACTTCCCCACTAAATTGATATGGAACAGTATGGCCCCTCCACGGGTCTCTTTTTTCACATGGGAAGCTGCCAAGGAAAGGATTCTCCCTCTGGATAACCTCATGAAAAAAGGTACTATTCTAGCCAACAGATGTTTTCTATGCAAAGCTGACGCCAAATCCTGCAATCACCTCCTATTACACTGTACTTTCTCCCGCCAGCTTTGGTCCACGGTCTTGGGGCTCCTTAACATTTGCTGGAGCCCTGCGGATTCTATACAAAAGGAGTTAAATGCTTGGGAATTTTTATGCAAACGCAACAAGACTTACCGACTAATCCCTCTTACAATTTTTTGGATACTTTGGAAAGAAAGAAACAACCGCGCTTTTGAAGACAAAGAAGAATCTTTTGGAAACATCAAGGACAATGGTTCCACTTTTTTGGGTCCACATTATTGGGACATCACCCTTGTAACCTTGATGATTTTGGTTTCATTGTAGATATACTCTTAGATTTGTAAATCTTTTGTACATGGGTGACACCCCCTTGGTGTCTACTCTAATATATTTTTCTACTTTCCATCTCAGAAAAGGGCATTTTTGGACATTCTGGAATGCATTATTGGTGGTTATTCTGGGTACCCAAGTTCATTTCTAAACATTTCAAGTATCCAAAAATATCTTTAGATGTTTCGAGTACTCAAGGTCATGAATAGATATTGTAGATACCAAAGAAGCGTTTCTAGGATTTTTGGGTACTCGAGGACATTTCCAGACATCTAGATATTCGAAGGTGTTCCAGACACTTGGTGTTTTTTTCGGGTGCTCTGGTTATCCAATAGACTTCTGGGTTTTCTAAGTGTCTATGTCATCTCTAGGCTGGCGATCCTTACATTTGGAGACATTTCTGTGCATTTTGGATACATGAAGTGTTTTTTAGTTTCAATTTTTTTTTGAAAGAAAAGTTTTTAGTTTCAAATATTCTTAAGCTGTTCCTGGCCGTTCCCAATATGGGGCATTTCTAAGAGTTTCAATTACCCAACATTGACATTTTTGGTGGATGAGTCCTCCATGTGTTTGAGGTCATTCATGAGTAGTCTAGAATACACCCCCGCTTTTCTAAAACTGCAGAATTGATAAAAGTCTAGCCTTATTGACAAGTATCCCCTCAAATTAGATAATTTACGTTTCAGCCCAGCAACAATTTAAAGTTTTCAGTTTAGCAACCAGGAGCATTTATGGGAATTCCAGGTACATAGAGATCCCGTCTGCTTCCTTTCTTATCTCGGCAAATGGGAAGCCTAGTCCTAGTTTCGGGGGTAGAGAGGATCAAATCGAAGAATTCTCTTTCCTAGTTTTCTATTACAATAGTTGCAAAAAGTGGAGGATGTAGACCATGTTAAGCCAATTTCTTCTTTGGAAGGTGGCGAATTGATCTTAAGGTCCTCTAAATTAGTGTGTTATGTGAGTGGGACGGAGATGATGAAATTTGACAGTTACCATGACTCAAACTACACGGAGAAAGCTTAATGGATGTGCACAATTCATTCTGATGAGGAAGGCTTAATGGATGCACACAAATTCTTTCCTAATTTACATTCTGAGGCTGAGGTGAGGAGGTCGGGCCTTGATGAGTTGGAGTTTGGTTCACTGAACCAAGAGGATGGAAATCACATTGAAGGACCTTTACCGAAGAAGAAATTTATTATGCTTTAATGAGTTGCAAGGGTGACAAAACCCTTGCCATTGCCTTCTTGCGGAGCAATTTGTAAAGAGTTGGAAGGGAACTATTCTACATATGTTTTTGGACATCAATCAAGACCCTTAATAAAAGGGCAATCAATAAAAAGACATGATTTCTGCTCTAGGTTCTTAGACTCATTCTCTATGACCAGCTTATCACCATATCTGGTCGAACTAGCTTAAGTCCACTTTCTCCTTTTTCTAATTTTGGGACTCTGCACCCTTTTCAATCTACCTTCTCAGCAGTTGAGGCCTTGGGTTTTTTTGCCTTATGCTGACCAGCCATTGAATCTTTGAAGAGAGTATGTTATTGATTTTTTAAAATTGACTTGACCCGCATCAACAACGAACCCTTGAAAGACTCATACTTGAAAAGCAAATTTTCAAACACACATTCTTGAATGACTATAACTAGTAACACCAAATTTTTAATCTCTTATGTCACAAACATACACAATCTTATAAAAGCAACTGACCACGGTTAATACACATGAAAAGCATAGGAAATTATGTAATCTATGCTTTTCTTGCACAGAAAATTTCCATAGAATTGAATCTAACAATTTAGTTTCAAAAAATGTAATTGTAGAATATTCAAACCTTCTTTCCAGCAGGTTGTTGCAAGGAGTGTGTTATATCAGCTACCTGCAATAAAGTTAAAATTGGTGTGAGTGCTACAGATCAAAATATTGGAAGTTTGTAAATCCTGGTAGCATTTCTGAACAAATACCATCATCATAACTCTGACNNNATAAGATCATCTTGATAAAAATAATAGGCAACATATACCCATTTGCAAAGCATCTAGCAGAAAGTCGGTTCACTTCCCCGCATGTCCCTATACAAGCAAAACTAACACTTTCCTAATCTTCATTTTTGTTAAATAATTGATTGGATGACCAAGTACCCTAAAAAATAAAGCAATACAAGAGGTTGTAACCTTAACATTTGTGTTTTAACATATCCTCTCATGGGTAAGCAAGATAATGAGCTTCATAGCTGAACAGAAACTCAAACAGATGCATAAGCTAATAACTTACAAGTGGGTTTCCAGGAAGGCCCAACTACAGGCAACAAATAAGTAAATAACAAGGAAGGAGTGAGACTCCCCTCAAGATCTTAAAGCATGTTAAGAATTAGTTAGTCAATCAATCATCCAAAAACTTGAGTTAACAGAAAATAGCACAAGTTCATTATTTACCCTACCATTTCTTTAGTATAGCTTCATGCTGTTTATGAACATATTGAATTAATTTTGTATTGAAATCAAAATTTATGCAGTCACCTATTTGGTGAGAAAAATAAGCAAAACTTTAATTAGACAAGTACAAAATGCATCATATTAACAAGACAAGTTTTGTAAACATTGATTTAAACCCGACATTTAAAAAGATTACATTCTTTTCAAAATAAAAATAGACATTTAATAAGCTTACATTCTTTAGAACACTTGATATCGATGAGGACAAAATCTTGCAAACCAAAATATTTAATTTCTAAGAACTATCTTGAACACAGATATTTACAGGAAAAAAAAAAAAAAAAACTTCTTGCAAAAGACTGAACCTTTTCCACAAAAATGTGCCTGGATCATAAAGGACTCATTTGTTACTCAACAATTGACCAAAAAACCATGACCAATACCATCAGTGCTCTTTTAACTTTTAGTCAACTTATAATAGATCTAATAAAAATGCCATTACAAATGGAGTGAAAGGAAAAACAAAGAAAATAATGTCCTAGCAAGACGGTTATCAAAAACAAAAATACAAAATTAACGTAGAAAATGTTTGTTTATCTGGTGAAAATAATATTTAAGATTACTATGCAATCACGGAACTGCTCAAAATGACACAGGTTCAATTACTCTCTACAACAAAGTAACCAAAGGATCAGTCCTCTTTTAAAAAAGCAAATAGTAGCTTAACTTGATGTTCATCTAAACCTATTCATTTCAAATCCAGTTTATGCTTACTCTAAAAAACGGAACCATAATGGAATCTAGTTCTTGTTTTCTTGCTCATAGATGGGACTTTCTTTTCTTTTTCCCTTATTGGATGAAGAAATAAATGTCTCGAGTTCTCCAGGGTGGCGCTGGCAACTGTTGGTTCAAATTTAATACTAGAACCTTTAATTCAGAAGACTTTTGTAAGTAGTGACTAATTCCATTTCTAATTATTTAACAAAGCCCTATTGTCCATCAAATGATTAGTTTTCTTCTTGTTTGATTTAGCATACAACATGATAGAATGTTTTCCAAAAATAAAAAGACAAATCATATATGGCACATTTTACTACAAGAAGCAAAACATGATGGAGAAATTTACTTACAACAGGACAATTTGCTTCCCTCATCCACTCTAAATTGCGTGGATCTACAATCAAATCATCTGTGAACCAAGCCAAAGGCAGGGCCAAATTACAAGTTTTGTACAAGTTTTGTTATCAAAAGGACTCTTTTTGTCAGGCCAAGAGAACGCATTCAGATGATTGATAACCTCTATCTATGCTTTTATGCTACAGCCTGGCAAAAAGAAAACCCAAGAACATCTGCCATATGCATCTGTTAACAACATTTGAACAATAACTTACTGTAGCCAAACATGGTGCCTCTCTCACAAACCATCACATTAGTATTTCCAGCCAACCTGATCTTCTCACAAGAATTTACCATGACCTGCGAAAACACATAGTTAATGGAACACTATATGGATGCATGAGCAATTCAGTTCTCTTAATCCAATATGTAAAACATGTAAAGAAAATGAAAAAAATGCATCAGAAGAAAAAAAGCATTACTTACAGAAGGAGCACAAAACTGTCCCTTTTTAATATTAATAATTTTTCCAGTCTTGGCTGCCGCAACAAGAAGATCTGTCTGTCATAATAAGAGGTAAAAGCAAGTATTGATCATATAACATTCACTACGTTCATACTGTTAAAAAGAGTCTGATAATCAAAGCAAACGGATTACAACTAAAAAACATAATCTTCTACTTCAAAAAAATTCTTTTAACCTGACGACACAAAAATGCTGGTATCTGAATAATATCTGCAACCTTGCCGACTGGTTCACACTGGTCAAAGAAATAAAAATATCACAAACAGGTTACATTGCATGTTTTACTTTCAGTTGCATTTAATAGAAATATTTTAGTTCTTATAATGTCGACATAAATTTTAAAACATTACTTAAAAACACAAGATATGAAACCAAAGCCAAGGCATAAAGTTACCGGATCAATCTGGTTTCCGCAAAAATTTACTTATACACTATATAGAAAAAATTATGATGAATTTGTTCACTTGAGTAACTGGCTTGAAAATAATGTTTCTTAGACATTACAACTAAGAATTAGAAATTTGGGTTTTATGAGTAGAAAAAATAACCAGAAAATTAACTATCAGTGTGTAAGGTGAGAATGAGATTGCATCAAAACAATCATACAAAACAAGTATGCTGATAAAATTCCCTGGACATTTGTATTGAATAATGTATATATAATAAGAGAGTTATGAAGGCATCTATAGGACTTCAAGTTAATCCCAATCTACTATGATTTTAGATGCTAATAGGAAACTTACAAGAATTTAAAGCTTAAACAAAATCCTAATGCTACAACTAGAATAACAATAGACTCCCAAATATTGTAATAAACTTATTTTTTTAAATGAAGAAAAGGGAAATATCATTGAAGCCCACCAAGAGGGTGCCACCTTGAATTTGAAAAAAAAAATTCACAAATTGAACAAATTAGTCACCCATAAATCTTCAGCTGAACTAAGCAGATGACCCTTGAACCAAAAGCAAAGGGTTTAGAACCAAACATCCCAAACTCTATTAAAAGAAAAGCAAGTGCTCTTGAAGGCTCTTTTTTTCTTTCCTTCCAGATTTAAATTATAAATTTCAAAGAATAGAATTTCTAATCTATTTAGGAAACCTAAGCAAAATCCTTTGTGCATCACAACATGGAAAATATCAATTTTTATGAAAAGTAAAATATTATTTGGGAGAAGATAGAAAGAGTAAATAAGTGGAGGATAAGAGATCTTAAATGAAAGTAAAAGAAACTGTTGATAAGGATTTTATGTTAAATAAAATACGATATTATTTAGAGTATCATTATATTTTATAATTAGAGTTCAAATAAAATAAGAATAATTAGTGTATATATCTCTTCTAAATGTAAACAAAATAAGGAATAAAAAATTTAAAAGTTATTTTCTCTAAAAACTTCATGGTATCTGAGCGCCGGTAAAAAACTGCAGCCGCACATTCGCAGGCATCGGTAAAAACTGAAGACGCACATTTGCAGGCGCGGGCAAAATCTGAAGCTACACATTCGCAGGCATCGGTAAAAATTGAAGCTATACATTCGCAGGTATCAGTAAAAAATGCAGCCGCACCTCCGAAAGCGCCAGTAATAATATACAACCACACAACCATAAGCGCTGGTAAAAAGTTGTAGTCGCATATCCTTAAGCGCCAATAAAAAGGTGCAGTCGCACATCCGGAGAAGCTGGTAAAAATTTAAACCGCACATCCAGAAACACTAGTAAAAACTTACAATCGCACATCAATAGATGCAGGTAAAAAAGATCACACCATTACTTTTTTCTGCGCACATTCAGAGATCTGTCCGAAGAAGACGAGTCAAGCTGACTTTGAGCCATTTTAGAGCCGAGTATGAGCCATTCTAAAGCCGAGTCTGAGCCATTCTAAAGCTAAGTCTGAGCCGTTCCAGAGCTAAATCCGAGCCATTTAGAGCCGAACTAGATTTGGTTCTGTTTTTTTGGCTCATTGGTACAGATAGGAGGTCTATTTTTCATTAATAAGTATTGTTTCTTCTTATTTTTAGCATTCTAAAATGACAAAAGCAAAAACGGTGAGTGTTACTAGTTTTGATAATCCTTCATTACAAATCAGTGCTGTAAAATTTGATAAAACTAATTATATTACTTGTTCGAGATCTTATTTATTATTCATCAAATCTATAGGATTACAGAGTTACATTACTGGTGAGGTGAATAAACCAGATGTTAGTAGTTTAGAATATAATAGATGACACTTTGAGAGCTCATTGGTAATATCATACCTCATAAATTCCATACAACCCTATATTGCCAGAGCATATCTGTTGCTTAACAATGCTGAAAAAATATAGAATGCAGCATCTCTTACATATTCACAAAAGGTGAATGACGCCCAAATTTATAAACTCCGAAATAAAGTTCATGGCACAAAGTAAGGAGATATGATTATTTCTCAATATTTTTCTGAACTAAATGAATTATGGCAGAAATTAGATTACTATCAAAATTTTCAAGCAGAGTGCCCTGCAGATGCAATCAAATTTCAAAATTGATAGAAAAAGAGCGAATTTATAATTTTTTAACTGATTTGAACACTGAATATGATCAAATACGAGTCCAAGTGCTTGATAAGGATCTTTTTCCTTCATTACAACAAACTTATGCTTTGTTCATACTAGAAATGTGGGTAAACTAGAACCTACAGCTCTTACATATGTATTTGTTGGATATTTTTGTACCCAAAAAAGCTATAAGTGTTATCATCCACCATGTATAAAATACTTTGTAACTATGGATGTTACCTTTAGGGAGAATGAACTTTACTTCAACTCAAACCCAACACCTCTTTAGGGAAAGAGTGAGAAGGAAGAAATGATACTTAATTGGGTAATGATTGAAAATCATATTCAGATGGAGATTTCTATTACAGAAAGTCTTAATTAAGAAAACAATGTTGAACGTTTAGATAAATCAGACTTGAAAAAGTATTCAAGGAAAGAGAAGTCTGAAAAAGTCATTATGTCGCAGGTCAAGAATCTTCTTTGGTTCCAGAAGATACTGGTGAGTTATCTTTCTCTTGTGATTTATCAGATAAATCTATTACTATTAGAAAGAGAACGAGA